ATTTTTATTTATATCTTATCTTTGTACACAATAAAATGATAACGAAGAAGCGGTTGTTTTTCCAAAGTTGTTGCTCACTGACAATATTTCTTTCTTTATGCTGATTGAATGTTCAAGGAAAACTAGAAATAAGACATGTCGACATATATTACTATGAGAATTCAGCTGAAACATGTCAACATGTTTCGCAATAACATTGTTGTTCGTTTCATTTTCCAGGTGTACGTATCGAAAGTCCGTATTTTCTGCCATAATGTCCTCAAGAACGGTAAATCAGAAAATATTGGTTTGGATGCGAGAATGAAATTTCGTTTCCAACTCTTCAGACAATATTTCGTTCGTTTAAAAATAACTTCATGACAAAGAGAACTTTGGTGACGTTCTTTTGTTTTCAAGATTGGACATATTTCAAATGATAATAGCATAAAAAAGCTAATCATCATTAATTGGGTACAACTGAAATGATGCCTTACCGCTGATGATAGATAATGAATTATAGAGATTATTAAAGTATTAATGAATTGTATTTGTTAGAGAGATGCTAATATGCATTGAGAAAGTTCTTTTGTTGAAGTTTATCATCATGTTTACTTTCCAATTTCGATCGATTGACGTATTTAATTTGATTATTTCGAATAAGGTTGACAAAAGTTTATTGTTTTTCTATGATACATTCATAAGATGTGATGAGATCAGTAGATTATGTCAAGTCTTATTAGGTGTTGAAGTCATACACATATGACATAGGCTCCGGAATATTGATGTTTGTATTCACAAAGTGTTTTTAAAATGATTGTTTATTATATAATATTGGTAAGGGAATCTTTTATTGTTTCTCGTACCGTGCTCTGATAATTCTCCAAAGGACGAGCGGCAGTATTAAGACAGTTACGCTAAAAGAAAGAAAAGAGTAGGGAGTCAAGTCATCAACATAGTTTTAGTTTATGACGATCTATTATTCAAAATTTTTTCACATAGCATCTGCTGTCAGCTGAAATGAACTTGTACACTTCGTATACAGATATAATATTTCTTCCTGAACTAGAAAAAAATGATCTAAGTATCCAATAATTATCAAAAGTATCAGAACATATCTAAAGATACAACAGAAACTACGCTTTTTGCTAAGAGACTTAGTCATGTATTGGATAAATTTTTTTTTTTTTATGAAAAAGTACTCAATTTATATACAAAGATGGTATTATTAGAAATAACAGGTTTCCAGCATAAAAAATAGTGATATTGAGTTTAATATAATCATTTGAAAATCATTTTTATTACCAAGAAAGATTGTTTTCAAAGTGATGAATACATTGGACCAGTTCAAACTTATATACCCAGAATCCGTCGTACAAATAAACTTTTCTTTACATCATTGATGAACATCACAAACACAATTATACAGCGATCATAGTAGATATCTCAAATGATATTTATGCTATTTGGTCTGAAGACCTATAATGTTATAATACATTCTTAATATTACAGTGCATATATAAATAATAAAAAAATTACATTTTAGTTGGTAATTCTCTGAATATAGTTATTTGAGACTAAGAAATGCAATAGCATAACTTTGTAATATATATAGTTTAGTTATATTATGAAATAAAATAACTTTTCTCAGATTTGCTACTTTCTCTCGGCTATCTCTTACCTCATATATCTATTAAATGTTTAATATTTTTTTTACTTTTATTCTTGTTTCTCAAACATTCTCAAAGCTGTTTAAAGTGTGCAATCATTATCAATTATTGTAGTAACAGAAACCGTGAATGATATGACATTTAAAAGTTGAATTTTCTATAAAATCATAGTTATTTTTTCCTACAAAATGATTGGACTTTTTTGTAAATCAGTTTCTTATCTTTAACTCAATTTATGTAAGTTATATGATTATTTATTGGATTTGAGTGCGCAGTGTTGGTTTGTGTTTGGTGGTGTTTCGGTGTGGTGTGCGAGCGTGGCGATAAGTAAATTTAGGTATGATGGTGTGTGTAGATATCAGTGTGATTGGTTGAATAGGTGAAGAGTAGCATTACATGGTGTGCACACAGACATTCTCTTCGATACATACCGACATCGAGACACACATCCACAACAAGATCAAGAAACTGAAAACGACTACTTTAATAGTCGAAAATTCATTCATTATTTAATTTCTTTTTTCAAAATAAAGGTCAACAATAAACATTTACATGTTCCTGCATTTAAAATAAATTTTCAACTTGAAAAGTTTCTATTTCTGAACTATGTTGAGCGATATAAAGAAAAAGTACACCAAAATATAGCCCATCAAAAGCTCTATCGTTATTTGCTTTAGTAAAATTTTGTAGATCCGTTATTGACCCTTTAATCAAAAAAAATTAAAAAGTTGATATTTTTGAAAAATAGAGTCTTGTGCAAGAAAGATCAGCTTTGAAAGGACATCAACCACAACTTCTAGAAACTATGTATGAACTGGATTCTTTGCGTGCTATTTGTTCGAAATGTGTCACATGATAGAAATGTAGCAGAAAAAATAATTCAAAGGATATTTTTTACAGTTGCAAAATGATTAGATTGTAAGAGCGACCAAATTCTAGTCTCTTTCAGAAATAGCTATATTTTGTTATAAAAACCAAGAATAAATTGAACTTCCAATACACCATTGGAAGAAGAGCATTCTGTACGCGACAAAAATTATCCTTAAACGTATTTTTTCATGTCACTTCTGAATTCAACAAAAAATATAAAAACGATATTGCACGATGAAGTTGCAAGAACTTTTTTAGAGAAGTTTGATTTTAATCTTTTCTCCTTCTTAGATTCATTCTGAAAAAATATGTCAAATAGAAAATTTGTAGTTCAGATGTTACTCTTTCTAACAAAAAGAAAAAAAGAATTCATTGTTTTAAAAGTTCGCAATATGGTATAACAGAGTTTGATATTTTTTCCAAAGATTTGCATCGGATGTTAATTTCAAAGAAGAGTATCCTTTTTTATTGGATGAATCAAGATACACATCACTATGGAATTATTTCATCTGTTAATACATACAATAAATAAATAACGTCATTTTATTCAAAATATCCAATTATCAGTACAATAAGAAGAAATATTGACTATACGAAACAAAAGATACGCGATGGAATTATAAGAAAAGCATGTAAAAAAAAGGAACAAGAAAATAAACATTTGTTTTTATTTTATAAAAATTGAAGAAAAAAGGGTATGCTTCAATTGACAACTTTGAGTTTGCCCAACATTATTTTTCACTTGCACCTGTGGTGTGTGTATGTATATGTTAAAATTAACCTTCAGCTTGACAAATAAAGGCTTTTATTTTTTTATTTTCTTTACCTTCCATAATGGAGCACAAACACATTAATAGTTTTCAATTTAAAAGAATTTTGATATATTTGTCAAAATTTTATTAATTTCTTAACTGCTTCACAGCCATGGAACTACTGTTTACTATCGATAACATTCTTAAAGAACTACAATTGTAAACTTAATTCTCAGATTTATCAAATTTCTCGAGACAGAAAATATTAATCATCTGAATCTAACTCATTTCTGTTTTTTTGTATAAAATTTGCCGTTTCAATAAAACGTTACAATACTCAAGTAAGCAGTAAATTATACAATTTTTTTAGTTAAATAATTCTTATTTTACAACAAAACACATTTTTTGAAAACATAAATTTCACATCTTTGATTCACTATAACCACTATTTCAACAACTATGGTTCAAATTATTCAATGTACTTAATTAATATAACTTTGACAAATATACATGGATGATAATGATTTAATTCCAATTTGAATTAATCGTCATTGAAAAGAATTAGACTATGTGAAATATAGGAAAGATTAACTTAACCGCAATCATCAGTTTTTCTCATACTTTTGATAAATATTAAGTTTGAAATTGTTCACTTTCCTATATCATTTTAAAATATATCTAACAATATTGTATTACAGAATTCTTTATTATGTTGAACTATACATTCTAATACGTTTGAAAATTGTCTTACTCTTAATGCTATAAATTATTCTTTGTTATGGCAAATCAGATACCTATCCACAGGGCAAATTACTTGTTTTTTTAAGGAGCTTTTTTTATAACATAAGGTCGGTATGGAAGTACTCAGTTGTTATTATAATGTTTTTTTTTCAGAATGTCGAAAATAATACATTGAAAAATGAATCCCTTCAATTATTTGTCTACATGAAAATTCTAATATGTCGTCAGTAGATACATTCTAACTTATTTGTGATTGTTTATAATTGAAAATAAAACGGAATAAAAGATCAATAACAATATTTTTCTACGTCTGATGAAGATGATCTATTCCTTATACGTTCTAATTTCTATTAGACAATGTCATCTGTGTGTTTTTTTTTGTAAACATTAGTGATTGTTTGAATGTAGGTATGGGTTTTTACTTCACAAATAGAATTTTTTTTTTCTTATTCTTCTAGAAAGAATACTTTTAATGTTGCATGATTTCTTTTGAGCATAATGCAGTTTATTTAGGGAACGATATTTCATTTTTCAGCTCATTTACAACATGCCAACTGAGAATTTTATAAATTAATTTTGTCCCTATATGAAAAGAAGAAATTAATCTACAATCTGTGGTTTTTTTTTCGTATTTATTTAATGCAATTCGAAGAGAGATGTATTTCAATTTTAGAAGCATGTTTTTGTTAGCTACACAATAGAGTCACTTTTATTTCTAATAGATATGATTGGATGCTAATCGAATAGTTCGAAAGACAAAATAATAAAGATTCATTGTGTCATGATTCTCATTTTTTCTTGTATGTCTCGAATACTTTGATCGTTCTTCAAGAAACCACAAAGAGTATATCGTTCATATTAAACCCATTAAAATACAATAAATATCAACGTATTTATTAAAATAGCCTATTTTTAATTATAAAAAATAAAAATCAATCATTTTATCTAATAACGAAAAAAAATTCATCTAGATTTTCGAACTGCTGAAAGTTCATTTTTTTTTCATAGGAATATAATTTCCATTATGTAAAAAACATTGTTTAAAAACATTAATTTGCGATCGATTTGTGTAACAAATTTTATTGGATTGATGACCTAAATTTCGAAGCATTTCATAAACAATTTCTCCAGCCCAAAATAATGCATTTGAATCGTTTTTAACAGATCCATTAAGTTTATCTTGATTTAATTCAATTTCGAATTCACCATCAATTAAAAATGATGATCCATGAGAAATACAAAAAATACACGGAAGAGAATTGTTATTTTCATTTTGATTTTTTTCATGGCTTGGATAAATATTTATGATTGGCATCTCACCATTTTCACTTTGAACTTTGAGACACATTAATTGATAATGTAATAATAAATATTTATTGAAATAAATTGAACTTTGTATTAAGTTTGATTGTGACAAAACTTCTTGTGTTAAGAAACAATCAGATTTACCGCAAATTTCATATAGATTTCGTAAAATTTCTGGTTTAAATAATCTATCAGCAACAATTTGTAAAGCATTTTCAATAATTAATACTTGATCTGATGTAAAACCATTGTGAATTTCATAAAAAATTTCGAATTTTTCTTGAGAATTTTGAGATATAACTCGTTTTGCTGAACCATAATGAATTTGTTGTTCGTTTTCTGATCTATCACTAAGTTCATTTGTATCTTGATATTGTTCTGATGATGATGATGATGATATGTCACTATCATAGGATGTTCTTCGAGAATTGTCAGAAGAAGATAATGAAGAAATAAATTCTTCATATTCACTATTATCTAACGGTTGATAACCATGTTCTAAGAACTGTATTAGAATGTGTTAAGATGTTAACAATATGTTTACAATAACTTACTCTAGATTTAAATTGGTTTAAAAAATTGTTTGGCAATACGTTTCGTGGCATTTGATTTGTTGGTAAAAAAATCTTTGAATTTTTCTTTCTTGATAATGTATGTATAAAAATCAAACGAATATATGTTAGCTTTAGCAGTGTCTAGGTTTGCTTATATAGGTAAGTTGTTGTTTACAATGTAGAATTTTTTTTCTATTCTGTTTGACGTCATATTCATCATGTTGTCAAGGCTTTTTAAAAACACTGTCTGCTGATTGTATGATCATGTTTCTTTTTTTAACCATTTATTTGTGGACAAAATGATTTTACATCAATGCAACAATAGTCTTTAGGCTTTTTCAGCTTGAAGAAAAACGTTTAAAGATGTGTCAATACAGCTGAAAAGTACATTAAACCAAATAGGTATGACCCTGTCGTTGTTCGTCCTTTTTTCCTGTTTTTTTTTTATTTGTTTTCGTCGATTCTGTTACTAAAGACTATACATTCGAAAATGTCCATACTTCGTTCTATTGATAACCATTTATTCTCCAGTCGATTTTCACTTATAGAACATTCAGATGTGCAACATAGCATGTAAAATTTTCTGACGATTCTTGTGGAAGTTGCCAAACAAATCTTCAGGAAATGCTGAGTGACTTTCTGATAAATCCCTAGAGAGACTTCTCAATTTTTAGATAGTGTAAATAGCGATAAGAAGCTCTCTGGGGAATTTCTGAAACAGTGCGTCACTTGTATATTTCCGAATCAACAGTAAATTCAAATAAGTATTAATTTGAAAAAAAAAATAAATTGTATTTTTTTTCTCATTCAGACTAATCTCAACAATAGGATGAATATAATCGAAAGAAAAAGGAATTTTAGTTTTTTCTATTTGTGATGCAGAAGAAAACAAAACCCATTTCTCTCTACACTTACAAGACGCTCATACAAATAGGATGTTGTATACGAGAGTTTGCAATAATCTTGATTTTCATATTAGATCTCTAAAAGAAATTGTTTAAATCCAAAGAAAAACTTACTGACTTGTTCTTAACAAATCGAGAAAAATCTCTGCCATGATTCTCTCAGATTTTCTTTTAAAAGGCATCCAATAATCCTTTTAGACAGAAAATTGATTTTGATTTTGACCTATTTTACATGTTTATCATCAAATATCATTATTTGATTGCCGAAATAAATATTTTTATTTTGTTTATTATAAAAAGAATTGAAATATGAATCTACCTCTTACATTTAGAACTATCACAAAGCAACCAATATTAAAAGTTTCTATAAGACATTTTATTTTTAATGAAATAAAATACCTCGACAAAGTTTTATTCTTGACAAAAAAAACAGTCTGTTGTTTATCTTACATAAGGTAAATAATAATCGCCATTCAATGCACATCGTTTAGAATTTTTATTTACCATCTGTGATCATTAATAGTTGCTCGCGACTAACTTTTCTGACCAGAACTCGAGTTACTGTGACGATAGTTGTAACTCACTTATTTTTAATATTAAATAATAAAGTCAATATCTTCAAATGCATAATGAATAATTCAATTTCAATTGAAATAAAAAATTTACAATAATTATTTTTTTTAATATTTAATTCAGAAAAAAATGATTAAACTTCCAAAAAAAATTATTTTTGTTGAAGAAAATCAAACATAGTTGATATGAATACAGAATATATAACTGTATTAGAATTGGTGATGGTTCATGATCAACTTCTACTGACAATAACTAGTCATTGCAGTCATAAGCATCATAGCTATTACCAAATTAATTATGACACATTTTAAATGACGATTCTTTTTATTTTCAGTAACACATTGTATAAGTTAAACAAAAAAAAAACATAATAATAATAATTTGTAGATTTTTATTATTTTTTTATTTTATTATTTTGTAAAATACTAATAAATAATATTTGTTTCTGTTGATAATTGCTATACTAAAAAAATTAATACTGCATAGTATTTTGTCATACAAATTCTCTGTGGAAATCATTTATCATATTATCAACCCGAGATAAACACAAGGGAGATATTTGTTTCTTGTTTTAAAATGAATTTCACTTACCTATTTCAATGAAAATGTGTCATTGCACAATGAAACAGAACACCTAACGAAATTATTTTGATACAACAATTACTAAACAACAATTGTATTATTTTTATTGTAATATAATAGATATGCTGACTATTTTCTGTTGTATTTATCGAAGTTTCATACAAATTCAATTTCAACCATTTTTCCAAACAAAGAATTGCTTTGATCAATGCATATTTTTAGACAAAAACAATAAACTAGACATCTACAATAATACTTTGTTTATGTACAACCAATGATCATGAATAAAATATTATCATAAGTGTTGAATTTAGAGTATCCAATAAACTTTCCAGTTTAAATTATGTCACAGATACGTTGATTAGGTATTCTACTAAAAACTGTCTCAATTTATGGATACTTGAAAATATCAATAAGAAATGTATCTGGGTCATAGTCACAACATAATATTCACTTTGATAGCTTCAATTCAATAGTTTTACTAGAGAAATATTTTGTATTTTTTAGAAAAGATGATAAAATAGAACAAGATTAATTACATAATCAAAATTCATTAGGATAAATTAACATAAAAACGAAGCTATTTATAATAAGAAAGAAAAACTTATTATATACTTAAATCATATTTAAGAAAGACATGTAACAAATTGTTACAGTCTTATGTAAAAAATGATCAAGAAAACAACGAGATAAAAATTTAATTTGAATTAATGATTAATTTCTTTTTGTGATTACTCAACGTTTCATACATACATATATATCAGATTACTTTTTATTTCGATTTATTGAAGAAGAAAAAAAAAAAAACAAGATATCGATTAACAAATACTTCATTAATGTATATATATATATATAATATAATACAGAAAAAGAAAAGATAGACATTCAAAAACAAAAAAAAGAAAAAAAAAAGCAACCAACTAAAAGTTAATAAGTGTCTGTCTGTATTGACTAGTTAGACGGACGGATTCGATAAAAAATTTTCTTTGATTAATGTTAATAAATTATCTTAATGGTGGAAGAAGTGAACTTTTTCCATTACAATCCGTAATAAATGAATGGGGTGATTGTTGTTTACTATCTTCTAATAAAGATGGATTAATTAAAGATGATGATTTTGTTGCTATTGATCGTTCTCTATTTCGTCGTTTTTGTTTTCGACAACAAATAAGAAAAAGACAAAATACACCAATACATATAATTAATGTTGATAAACTAAATGTTAAAAGAAAAATTATTGTTTCTTGTTTTTTATGTTTATTATTTGCTAATTTTTGTGTCATTAAACGTTGATGTTGAGATGTTTCTAATTGTTTTTCATATTCATTTATTAAATGATCCCGATCAATTGATGTATCACCAATTAATACAATTAATTTATCTTGTTTAATACATGGTTCAGGAAAAAATGTATCTGTTAAGGAATAATCAAGTTCAATTATTGAGGGAATTTTTAATGGAAGATCATCTATTGTTAAGAAACCATTTGAATTAATTTTAAATATAGATGAATATTTCGATGAAAGTAAATTAAATGTTATATTTGATTGATCTGATATATCTTTATCAAATCCAAATAAACGATATGTAAATATTTCTCCTGGACTTTTTTTAAAACGTTGACGAGATACAAATATATATGGTTCAGATGAAAAATTAACTAATTGTGGACAATATTCATTTATATCATTTACTTTTATGGTTAATTTTGCTTCACTTGATAAAGGTGGCGTACCTAAAAACAATTTTCTTTTATTTATATAATAGAACTATAATTTTTAATCAAAAACAACTCAGGATATATATATAACTGATATTGTTAGACCATGAAATTGATTGATTCTTACTATACATAGATCTTTTTCCGGATGTTATTCCATATGCTGCTCAAGCTAAAACTATTAGAGATAATGAATATGAATAATTAAATGAATAGAATCATTCATTAACTAAACAACTCATATGAATTTAAGAAGTTGTCGATAAAACCATTCTAACTTATTCAGAATAGTATCGATTCTATCTATCATTGAAATAACTAGACTTACATATATAAACTCAGTAAACAATTTTTTTTAACGTAAACCTCCAAATATTTTCTAATATTTTTTTTATAAATTTGACATGCATTATTACTTCATTGTTATTAATTTATTCACGCTTAAACATTAAACAAAATTAGTTTTGCTAATTTTAATTCTCAAACTATTGTATTGATGTCTAAGACCGATTGCTGATTTTGTCAATATGACTGTTGAAACTTATAAACATTAACATCTGATAAAACTTAAAAAGTGATAACATAACTTCGCAATAAAAATCATTTGTTTGTTTTCTCGTATAAAATCTTATGAACTTATATATTTTATCAATTATTTTTTATTTTGATATTGTAAAATATTATCATAAAATTTTTAATAATTTAAACAAAAAAAAATTGACCTAAATTCAGTATGCATCTGATAGAAATGTTTTACTAATTTTCAAAAAGAAAATTTCAACGAAAATAAAAACTAACTCTACGAAAAAACTCACCATGATCTCTAACAGTTATAATAAATTGATGTATTTGTTGTTGTTCAGCATCAGGTATTCTCGTAACTAAAACTTGTCCTGTATGACTTGTATGAAAAAAGAATTCTGAATAAGGTGTTATTGAACGAAGTGTATATGTTAATTCACCACGTCTTGTTCCAGGTAAATCTTTATCTTTACCAATAATTTGTCCAACAATTGTACGTACTGGTACATTTTCATTAATTTGAAAAAAATATTGACTTTTTTCAAATTCTGGTCGATGATTAAGACCTTCAATTGATATAGTTACATGTGTTTGAGCTATATGTTCACCATCTGATACTGTTACATTAAATGTTATTGTTTGATCAGTCATATTTATTGATAATGGTTCAATTAAACTTATTTGACCCGATTCAGAATCGATACGAAATAAATTTGAATTTGATGAATATATAAGTGAATTTGTTGATA